TTCTCATCATCCTGGTGAACGGCCATGTGCCTTGAATGCAACAAGGCGTTCGTATGTGTTTCATGTCGCTGACTCGGCAAATTGAATTCAGCTGTCGCTGTGGGGTTGGTTCCCTCCCTGACTCCCTCTCCATCTCTCGTTTTCTTTTTCTCTCCTTCGCTTCTTTGCGTCTTTCCATCTTTCTCCACCTATATATTTAGAGTAAACATATGTAAATATATATATTTTTTGTAAACAATATGCATATAGAGTAGCAAAGACATCACTAACAATAGCTAGAAGCTACTAGTAACAAGGGCATCGATACTAGTAACAAGGACATCCTTGTCACGAAAGCTAGCTGTAGCTAGCTGGAGTCTGTCTTGCTTTAGCAAGGAGGGTGGGAGCCCAGGACCTGAGTGCTGTTACCTGATTTATCAAGACTATACCCCCCCCCTCGCGGGGTTCAACTGCACCCTTCTCGTCCTCGGTACCTGCTGCTGCTGCTTGGTCGCTGCTGCTGCTGCTGGCTGGCATCTCATCTGCGCCTGGCTCCTGGCTCTTGGCTGCTTGCTGGTTGCAGCTGCTTGCTGCTTGCATGCTTAGTGCTGCTGGATGGATGCTCTTGGCTGCTTGCTGGTTGCTGCTGCTTGCTGCTTGCATGCTTGCTGCTGCTGGATGCTGGCTGCCTGCTGCTTGTTGTCTGCTCCGTTTTGCTGCTGTTGCTGTTTGGGGTTGTTGGCTGCTGTTGGTGCTGAAGAAAGCCTATTCGTTAGAATCGAGAGTAGTTGCATTCCCTTTGAGTCGTGAAACGATGCTAATTTCATTAGGGCTCCCTTTTTTTCACCCTCGAACAATGTTTTTTTTCACCCTCCCTTTTTTTCCCACCCTTTGGAACCTTTTTTCCACCCTCCCCAAACCTTTTATTTTCACCCTGCACCCTTGTCATTTTCACCCTGTAGCATGTTTCTTTCACCCTTCACCTTGTTTTTTCACCCTTCACCCTTTCTTTTTCACCCTCGGCCCTTTCTTTTCAACCCTCCGCCGGTGAAGCAGGTATCCCATGGAACCTGCACAGAGAACGATGTCACCTCCGGTTTGTTTCACACCGCTTGCCCCTGCACCTGCCAAACCCTTTGTTTTCACCCCAATAGCTTCTTGTTACTAGCCCTTCGGAACCCTCCGGAAACTGCGTGGAGACTGTCCGGAACGACGGGAACCGCCGGAAACTGACCCGGACGCCTCCGGAACGTGAGGCAGCACAGGATCATACAGGATCCATCCATCCGTCCATCCATGCATCCATCAACGGAGTGCCAACCAACCAACCAACCAAGCAAGCAACAACGCGGCCAAGCCAACAAACCCACCAAGCAACCAACAAGCCAAGCAACCGAACCACATAACTCCGTGTTTTCCCCAAGTGCTGTAGGTACTAGAAATCCCGTGCGGGGGAGGCTTGGTTTGCATTGCAGGGGAGGCGCTGCGCCCTCCCCATTTACACAGCATCCGTCCATCCATGCATCCATCAACGGAGTGCCAACCAGCTGACCAACCAACCAAGCAACAACGCGGCCAAGCCAACAAACCCACCAAGCAGCCAACAAACCAAGCAACCAAAACCACCCATCCCGTAGCGCTCTGCCCTCCCCCGCACCCCCTCCCGCCTTGACTTACACAGCATCCATCCATCCATCCGTCCGTCCGTCCATCCATCCATCCATCCATCAACCAAGCACACAAACAGAAAAATTGCATACCCATCCAGCACTGTATCACGCAAGCAATCACGGCAAGCAAATCAACACACCAAAAAGTAACATTCTTCCCCCTGTCCATGATCCATCCATCACTGTATGTGTCTTCTCCAAACCCAAGCAACCGACAAGTCAAGCAGGCTGAACCAACCAACACAACAACCAAAGGAAGGAGAGTTAAAAAGAAAGGGTGGGTAGCCCACCAGCAGCAAACAAACCAAGCAACCAAACGTTTCCCCCAAATGCTGTCGATACTTGCTTTGCATTGGTAGCCCACCAAGCAACCAACAAACCAAGCAACCAAAACGACACAACCCTGTGTGATCCCACATGAGCCATTCGATAAACCTCCGTGTTCATGTTTAATCAGTGTGTTGTCATATCGAAGTTGCGCGTAAGCAAAACCTGCACGCGCGAAAACCTGCACGCGCGTAAGGTTGCGTAAGCTTTTTGTGACGAAACCTTTTGTTGCGTAAGCCATGCGTAAGCTTTGAAGAAATACATGATAAATACATGAGCAACCCCTCTCAGAAGTGCTAGGACTAAGGAACAGTCCAACTCCACACATACATACACAATCCAAACTCGAATTGCTGAACGCACACAGTCCAAACACCACAGCTGAACAGTCAAACCTCCATGTCAGACATGAGAAACTTCAGGTGTTTTTGTGAGTTCCAGCGCGTAAGCCGCGCGTAAGCTCCGCGTAAGCTCCGGCGTCCTTTTCCACCAGTAACCCACATGCCTCCTTCTCCGAAACCGTTGCGTCAGCATATACAATGTGGTTTGCGCGCATCGCCCTTCCACTTCCACTTCTCCACTTCCTGCTGCTGCTGCAGGTCTTCTGCTGCTAGTCTGCTGCTGCTGCTGCTGGTCTGCTGCTGGTCTGCTGCTGCTACTGCTGCTGGTGCTGCTGCTGCTGCTGCTTGGTTGCTTCTGCCTTCGAGCCTTCTTCTTCGTCCTCATCCTCAAGTGCTTCTCCAGCACCCATATCCGAAGATTAGGTGTAGTAAATGTCCATTGTACAAAGTATGCAGCGCGTAAGCTCGCGTTGTGGTGTCAGCTGCATTATGTGCGAGACAGGCGTTGCGTAAGGTCTGCGTAAGCCCTTCTTGCTCCAAGTGTACCGCGTAAGCAAACATGTGAGTCGCGTAAGGCAGCGTAAGCATAAGCACAAGCCCAATGATACGACATGGGATTACATCAAGGTTTTCAGAAGCGCTCACATGCTGTCGATACTTGGTTCGCATTGCGGGGGAGGCGCTGCGCCCTCCCCGCACCCCCTCCCGCCTTTATTTACACTCCATCCATTTATGCATCCATCCCCGCCCGCCATTATCTACAGACCATCCATCCATCCATCCACCCATCAAACAAGCAAGCAACCAACAAACCAAGCAACCCAAACCACGCAACCCTGTTTTTCCCCAAATGCTGTCGGTACTTGGTTTGCATTGCGGGGAAGGCGCTGCGCCCTCCCCCGCACCCCGTCCCGCCTTTATCTACACAGCATCCATCCATCCATCCATCCACTGTATCACGCAAGCAATCAACAGCAAGCAAACCAAGCAACCAACCCACCAATAAGTTTTAATTGTCTCCCTGTCCATGATCCATCCATCACTGTATGTGTTTTCCCGAAATCCAAGCGACCAACAAGCCAAGCAGGCCGAACCAACCAACACACCAACCAAAGGAAATGGGATAAACAAAGAAAGGGTAGCAACCAAACTGTGTTTTCCCCAAACGCTGTCGATACTTGCTTTGCATTGGTAGCCCACCAAGCAACCAACAAACCAATCAACCAAAACCACACAACCCTGTGTTTTCCCCAAAGGCTGTCGATGTTTGGTTTGCATTACATTACAACAAGCTAGCCAACCAACCAACACACCAAGCAAAGGAAGGAGGGTGAAAAAGAATGGGTCGAGGGTCAAAAAAGAAAGGGTAGAGGGTGAAAAAAGAATGTTCGAGGGTGAGAAAAACAGGTTCAGAGGGTGAAAAAGAAAGGTGGAGGGTGGAAAAAAAAGGGCGGGGTGAAAAAAAGCAGGGTTCAAGGGTGAAAAAAAAAGGTTGCCCATTTCATTATATCCAAAAGAAGCTTGTACAGGCATGTACCCACCCCACAACCCCCAAGAGTACAAATCAGAATGCGCTATCCGCTATCCATGCAGATCAAAAGATTATACCTACTACACACATGAATGACAGAACCCAGTAAGATGTTTGAACGGGCTGTTTGCTTCACTCATGGTAGTCCGTGTTCCATGTTCGAGCGACAGGGAGCATGCAGAAGCGTTGCGACGGAGTCTTCGGTCGCTGACACATGTCCGCATGCAACCCCTAGATGTATCTGTCTTTCCACGTCGCCCTTCTACAATTGCTCAGGCAGCACCTATATGTGCTATTGTTCGAGACCAAATGTTGGGGCACGAAAGACTCTAAGGAGCTGCTTGGTAGCTGATGCTGCTGTTGCTTGGTAGCTGCTGCTGCTGCTGCTTGGTAGCTGATGCTGCTGTTGCTTGGTAGCTGCTGCTGCTGCTTGGTCGCTGCTGCTGCTGTTGCTTGGTAGCTGTTGCTGCTGCTGATGCTGCTTGGTAGCTGCTGCTGCTGCTGCTGCTGCTTGGTAGCTGCTCCTGCTGCTGCTGCTGCTTGGTAGCTGGTGCTGCTGCTGCTTGGTAGCTGGTGCTGCTGGTAGCTTCTGCTTGCTGCCGCTGCCGCTTCTGGTTGTGGCTGTTGCTGCTGCTGCTGCGGTTGCTGGGGTGGTTGTGTGTTGCCATGTGTTGGCTGTGTTGGGGTCGTATTGGGGGGGCGCTGTTGGCACTCTCCTTTTCCCTTGGCCATGGCATGTTGCGATTCCCTGTCAGGCTTTTGCTGCCTAAAGAGCCCCAGCGTTGTTTCTTTGCCTAGCTTTCGCCACCCCCCTCTGGGCCACAAGTTTCTAGTAGCTTCTTGTTCTTAGTAGTAATGCCAGGAGCATCCAGGAGCTACTAGTGGCATCCTTGCTACTCGTAGTAATGCCCTTAGCTACTAGTAGTTTCTTGTTACTACTGTACATTATATATATACACATCGAGACCCTTTTGCAACTTGTGAATGTTGAAACTTGCAGATTGGCCTCGGCACTTCAGAGGCAGGCCAAGTGAGCAAGTGCAAAGTGGGTTTTGTGAGTTGCAAGTCCACTGACGCTGCGTAATAGTCCTTTTCCTTTCGCGAGGAGAGCCGCACGCAGGCGTAGATTATATGGCAACAAAAAGTCAACCCCATGATTGCATGCTTACATATGCTTACTAAACCTTGTGGCTCAAGCTGCATTCTAGTTCACCCAATTGCTTTCAAAGCTTTTGATGTTGGCAGTGTGCACAGGCACATCAGCCTGTGGCAGAATCCAATAGCTGCCATTGTGTTTCACTGCGCACTAGTCAGAGTTCGACTATGGCAGAAGACGAAGTGGTTCGTGACTTCAAGAAGCAGCTGTCTCGGGGACATGAAGTGAGCCGACAAAGAGCTTTACTTCCCTCGCGGAGTAGCAGCTTTCCAGACTTGCGCGGCGAGCTTCTTTTCCCAGAAATTGGTCGAGCAGGGGACATTGCACAGCCAGGAGGCTTTCGGCGGGAGCATGTCCTGCGCCAGGCTCCGAATTCAGCTGCAGAGCGGCCGCTGCTGAGTTCGTTGCTGGACCCCCGCTTGCAGTCATACTTTTCCAAAATGGAACTCGAAAGTGAAGTCTCTGCCCCTGCAACAGGAGCTTCAAACCTTTCCACCATCCTGGTAATCCTCAAGTCCACAATTGGTGGCACACTCATCATCATTCCAGGAGCCTTTTCGAGGACTGGACTTCTTCTGGCACCTCTAGTCTTGTTGTTTGTTGGTGGTGTCGAGATCTATTGCATGGTCCTCCTTGTGAAGTGTGTCCGCAAACTTGGAGGTGGCTCCTATGGTGATATCGCTCGCACATCAATGGGTGCTTTCGGGACGTGGGCCGTTGATTTGAGCATTCTCCTATCGCAGACGGGTTTTGTTTGTGCCGAGATGCTCTACGTGGCAAAGAACTGCAGTAGGGCGTTGGCATCATTTGGCTTAAGATCGGCTTTCACATCTGAAACGGGCATTTTGATGCTGCAGTTGCTGGTGGTGATTCCGATGAGCTGGATTCGGAAGCTCCAGTACTTTCAGGTGTCCAACATCATCGCCAATACCACAGTGCTGCTTGCTTTGGTGTTTCTCTTGGGCTACTCCTTCAGTGGCTTGGTCGCTCATGGTCCTGGGGTTGGAGTTGAAGCTACGGGCCCCAATTGGATGATATTTGCCGGAACGGTTGTTTTCTCTTTCGAATGCATCAACTTTGTGATCCCGATGTATGATGCACATGAAAAGAAGGATACATTTGCACCAATCTTGGTAATCACGTTGCTGGGTGTTTGCGCTCTTTTCATCATATTTGGTGGAGTCAATTATGCCTACTACGGCGAGAACACGCACCCGGTCATCACCTCAAACTTGCCCGAGGGCTCCCAAGTAGGCCGTGTGATACCCTTTGCCTTTGCATTGGCCTCCCTATTCAATGTGCCACTATTTCTCTTTCCTGCTGCAATCTACTTGGAAGCACAATGCTTCAGCAATGTGCCCAAGTCGCGTGCAAGAACATGGATGATCAACGGAATGAGGACCGCCCTGATCCTGTCATGTGCCTTTGTTGCTTATCTGGGGAAGGATAAGATCGATGCTTTCATTGCTTTGATTGGTTCGGTTTGCTGCGTCCCGCTTGCCTTTATATTCCCAGTGATTTGCCACTTAAAGGTCTGCCAACCAAACCAGCAGACATTAGCGATACATGCTGCTGTGCTGCTATTGGGCATGGTCTTATTTGTATACACGTCTTTCTCAGCTGTCAAGCAGCTGGCTGCTCTTGGTGAGGCTCAGTCAGACTGAGCTGTGAACAAACACCCTCCTGGGCTAGTTGGGCCGGAAGGAAAAGTCGCTGCAGCGAATGTGTCCAAACACTCCCATGTTAAACGACGCGTGAATTTTAATTTAATAATTAGGTTGGAGGCCATCGCTATGAGGATGGAGGCTATCGCTTCTAGGCTGGAGGCCATCGCTATTAGGTTGGAGGCCATCGCTTCCAGGTTGAAGGCCATTACGATTAGGTGAGGTCATCAGTGAAAAGCACAGTTTGAGTCTAAGGTCTAAAGCTCCTGTTTGCTGCCTGGCAGGTCTTGTGCACATTCACGTTCGGCCTGCAGGCTTCAGCACCGCTCCGAGAGTTGGAGTTTTTCTAGATCAGGGCCAATGGAGCAGAGCTTTTTCTAGGGTCAGTCGTGCAACGTGTGCAGACTGTTTGCAGGCTGTGTGCTGATGTCGAGTGGCGTTGAGGATGTTATGCCATGCTTTTGTTTCGGCGGTGTCACTGATCACTGCCCATTCCTCAAATGGGTGAGTTGGGAGCATTTTTTGGCCGTGTTGCAATTGAAAAGCTTGGCGATCACGAACGGACACTGTTCTGCTCCAAGGATGATTTCATTCCTTGACAAGACAAATGGTTTGGCCATCTCTGTTGTTTTCACAGGTTTTCACATTGTCAATGAACACCGGCTGTTGATGGCCAAGACGGTCAATCCGCACGGTGTCACTCTGCATGCTGTACATTCTGTGAGCAGTACAACAATCCACGAAAGCATTTTGCTGAGTGGATGCTGTATTCTTCCTCCATTCTCTTGCGCGGCAGCCCACCATGTGTATATTTGTTGGTCTACAGGTCCTCTTGGCTTTTGGTGGCTTCTGTTGGCTTTTGATTGGCTTCTGTTGGCTTTTGGTGGCCTGCGTTGGCTTTCGCGGCCTTTGGTGGCTTTTCGTGGCTTCTGGCGGCTTTCGTTGGCTTTTGGCAGCTTCTGTTGGCTCTTTGTCGCTGCTGCTGGCTTTTGGTGGCTTTTGTTCGTTGGCTTTTCGTGGGTTTACAGTGTTGTGAGCACTGTGCTGCAGCAGGATGGTGTTGTCTTCCCTATTAAGATGTACAGTTGCAGTTTGCCATGGTTGATGGCTGGATCCTCAATCTAGGACTCCAGACTGCGGGCTGCGCTCTCCACCCCAACCCTCTCCCACACCACGAAGTCTTCGCGCAGTGCCACAAGATCTGACCTTTTACTGTAACAGAACACCTATGTTGCGCTTGAAGGGGCCTTCTTGGCAGAAGTCTGGCACAAAGCCCTCTTTTTAATTCCCTCTAGGCTTCCCGCGTCTCTTTTGGAGGAAATTGGATAACATGTTTGTCTTGGAGACTTACCCGCTCACTTTGGAGGATAGGGCCTGAGCGAAGGCGCCCACAGAAGATATGAAAATTATCCCGGCAAGAGACCCCAAACTCTGTGTGTGTGTGTGTCAACCCCTGTGCCGAAGGGTTCGCCACCACCTTCACAATCACCAATGTTTCACAAGCAGGGGGGCCAGGCCTGTCACATCCAACCTGGCCCAACGAAGCTGGGATGTGACAGGGGAAGCACCAGAGGACGCTTTGGTGTGTACCTGCCACAACTTTTGCACAAGCTGTCCAATCTCCTTTTTTGTTTCCATGGTGGTTCATGATACTTCCCCCAAACCTACTCTTCCCCAGCAGCTGCGCCGCGCCGACGTTTTACACCGCCGATCTTGTGAGCTGCAGATGTGCACCAACCTTTGTTAAACAATACCTCTTCACGGACTCTGCCACCTTGCCGTTCCATCGCCATTTTACCTGGAAATATCTGGGAATTGAGTGTAACTGAAAACCCATGTCAGAGTGTGTCTCGCTCAGCCGTCCCACTCGGGTGCTGAGTGTGATCCTCCGCAAGGAGGCGCCGTTTCATTGGGAACTCATTAACGGAACTCACCACCGCTCACCGGAATTTCACTGGAATTCACCTCCACTTCCACCGAATTAACTGCCTCAACGGCCGCCGGGCCTAAACACGGGACTTGCCAGTTCACAACGTTTGCACATGTTCTGCATGGTTTTTGCATGTTTTGCGAATTTTCCTCAAGCAGTGCGATTTGAGTCTTTTTGAGCAGTTTAATTCGACTTGCATGAACACACCACAACACCACATAACAACATTCCACATGACTACAACTCTCACCTTTCCACAACAACACATACCCACATTTCAACCACACATTACCATCTCAATTATTGAACGATTACACCAGCTGCGGTCTCCGCTGCAGTGCCGCGCCGCCGCCATTGCGAAGACTTTGCCAAACAGCTGCCACGAGTTTTTCAACAGTCCCCAACTGGACGCCCGATGCAGTATCCCTGGCCTTACTCCCACGCAACACCACCTCCACTACCCACTGCACCAACACAACCGGCAACACATTTGCCACATCCACACACACAGCACCGGCATTTCCTTATCCACAACATCCGGCTTTTCCAGTACCACAACATCCAGCATTTCCAGCTCCACAACCTCTAGCTTTTCCAACTCCAGCACCTTTTCACTCAGCACAACCAAATGCGTTACCTTATGGTCCTCACTCTGCCTGGACCCTTGTACACCCTTCTCAACCACAACCGACACAACCGCAAGCCACATATCAACCACAGGCACCTCCCCCATCCTACCTGGTTCAACAATTACACCATTCACCACCTACCGACCCCACCACAGCCACCCCCATACAGCCGCCTCCTGCACCTCAGCAAGCCCTTCCGGTTACCACACCAACAGAACCCCAGTGGCACATGCCGCAAGGGGTATGGCAACCTTTTTCAGCATTCCCCCCGGTTACGCCACCTTTGCAACATCCTTCATCACAACCCCAACTGGCACTCAGTGATTCACCACAAGACCCACAACCACACCAGCAACCTGCACCACAGGACCCTAACAATCCAGTTCCCAACCCAGTGACTACGGCCACTGTCTCACAACCCTCTCCATCGCCATCCATCGCCTCACCACCACCGGCCACAGTTTGACCCCGCCGCCGGGGCACCAGCCAACACAGCTTCTCCAGCCCAACCATCCTCTTATCAACCTCACAGCAGTCGCCGCCACCATCACAAGAGCCGCCGCAAGACCGACCACCACAGACACGGTCGCCACCGACGTCGCCGCCGGCGCACACATCGCCACCACTCCAAGACCACCAAACATCACAGTTCCTCCTGGAGACACCGCTCGCCATCCACATCCACTTACTCCTACTCCTCCACACCCTCCCGCAGCCGCTCCAGGTCAACCGGTTGACTTACGACCCAACACAGATGCCTCCGCAGCAGACAATACCAACACCGCCACCTCCCAATATCCACTTACCCCAGTGGTCCGTCGACCATCCAACCACATCACACTTTCAACAATTATCGCCTCAGGAGCAAATTCTCACTTGGCTTGACTTTCATGCTGACCAGCTCGACTCCTCCAATCGACCTCAACACCAATACCTCGCCAACCTTCTCTTTGACAGCAACATCACATACAAAGACATCACTGACTTCAGGCAATACACCTATGTCAAATGGAATGAGGCCACCCAGCAATACGATCAATTCCAATACAACGCAATCTCACTCCCCTACCTCAACACCAAAGCCTCCAGAACCTCACCACCACCAGTTTCCCGCGCCACCTCCACTGACCGGGAAGTCGCACACATCAACGCCGGCCACACCGGCCCTGTCGGCAACATCACCAACATTTTACGACAAGGCCGTTTCCTACCCAGCACACTCCATTTCCCAAACTATCCCGGATTCTTTGCTCAAGGAGTCCGCATTACACACAACCAGCAACATGACCACGGCGAATTTGCTCGCATCATCCACAACACATGGCAACTCTCCAAAAACACCCATTCCCTCATTGTCACACTCCTGGCTTGGGGCGCCGCCACGAAGTACACCTCTGGCGGCGAGGAGCAGGCTATGACCCTTCTACACGACCACCACGGAGCAGTCTTTCACCAGAAAGGCAGATGCTGGGTCATCCACCCCGACCATGCCATTGTCAAAGGACTGGCATGGTCCGTCAACTCCACCCCACCAGAACTATGACCCTTCCACACACAACACCCCAGCAACCACCCATTACAACCCTTTGTTTCACCTAGCCACCCTTTCGGCTTCGCCAACAGCCGAAAACAACGTTGGCGCTTGCCAAGACATTTCAAGCTTTGCTGTTACATGACAACCAGCTTTTCAGACTTGGAAGTTTTCAAGGGAACTGTGACTTTTATGTTTCGACTCACTCTCCACTGTTTCATGCTGCTTTTGAATTCATTTCGCATGAATTTTGGCCCGGTCTTTGTGATTAATTCGTTTGCACGCCCTCGTGATGCTGCGCTGCTGCTACGAAGTACGAAGAGCTCCAACGAATCCTACACACATCCCCAACATGACCAGCACAAGCCCACCTCCTCGTGACGACACCAATACATTACCACATCAAACGACAGTGGCGCTTTCTCAGATTCACAACCTCCTCCGACAAGCAACAGACATCATGGCACATCTTCACACTCGCTTTTTACATCACATCGGACAGGCAGATCCCACTTTCCACCGACCCTTTACCCAACTACCACCACCACCAACATACTCCATCAATTTACCCTCCCCAACCTCTTCCTGCGACTCTGCACCACCCAGACCACGAGTCCGTCCACCACCTCAGCCTTCCATCAACTCCGAAGACACACCTTCTCCTATACCCCCTCACCCAAGCACACACCGGCTCGCAAACGCAAAGAGCCACCACCTCCACTCAACCCACATGCAGACTGGGATGCCTGGGATGGTGACGCTGATTGTCGCCTCGTGGAGCTCAAAGCCAACCCCAGGCTTCGACCCAATTGGATCTTTGTTTCCCGACGGGTCGGATACTCCGTTGAGCAGTGCAAAGCTCGATGGAAGGAGCTTCAAGATCTACAAAGATTACAGGACACCAAACCACCTGAACCCACTCCACTTCCCACAGATCCAGAGAAGATGACACC